CTACACATATTCCACTGGAACACTGCTTTTAAGACCTTTGAGAAGTAGCCTCCATCTTAATATTTATGTGGTGGGGAGAAAAGATCAATCATTTTGCAAACAAACTAGTCTACTGTTTGAACTCAAATTTTAAGACAGAGAACTCTTCTTCTTTGCAGAATATAGTACAAATGCATTCCCTTTATGGAAGTTAGTCCATGGATGTATGATTTTGATAGTTTTAAGTATTGGATTGGTTAATTACACTGCTAGAATTGAATGTTGATTGTTCTTGGCAATATTTGAAAGAATGATCTACAGTGATATATGAAAATGCATCCTTAGAACACTAATTTTCTCTTTGCCTTTGGCTATTTGATTGTGATTGTCAAGGAATGCAGTACTAGGGAATCCATAAATTCTAGTTTGTTCTTCTCTTTCTTAGAGGTTTTGCAATAATCTTCCTATGAGTATCCCTTGTTGTCAATTGAGCATTTTCATCTCCCGTTGTCCTTTTTATAGTATCGTGAGAGCATGAAAATCTGAAAGAATGATCTACAGTGATATATGAAAATGCATCCTTAGAACACTAATTTTCTCTTTGCCTTTGGCTATTTGATTGTGATTGTCAAGGAATGCAGTACTAGGGAATCCATAAATTCTAGTTTGTTCTTCTCTTTCTTAGAGGTTTTGCAATAATCTTCCTATGAGTATCCCTTGTTGTCAATTGAGCATTTTCATCTCCCGTTGTCCTTTTTATAGTATCGTGAGAGCATGAAAATCTGCTTTATTTTTTAATTGTTTGGTTTTGCCGTCTATCCTGAGATATGTGTGTTGCTACTCATGTAGTGATATGTGCAAACCAAATCCGGATCTTGTTGAATACCTTGTGACTGTTTTCCATCCCTATATTTGTTTATTTGAGGGCCAATGCTTTTTTATGTTTATATCTCTTTGTGAAACTTGAAATTTTATTATGGAGGGATGCTGGTCTTCGGGTGGTGAATTGTAAGGTCTAGTTTCTATAAGCTAAATGGGTGAGAACACAAAAGTAGTCTCTCTCTCTCTCTCTCTCTCTCTCTCGTATTTCAGATTTCTTTATTATACATCCTAATATCACTCTGTTTCTATACAAATTTCCCTTGACTCTGACTTATGTCATTGGATTATGACAGTTGTTTCACGACTGAAATATTGGAAGGTTTTGATGTACAAAGAACTAATGGCTTGGGAGAAACATTAAGGAAATATGGACATCTTACTCAGGCCATATACCAGTACTACAAGTCTTTGGATTCAGAGCATAAAAGCTCTAGGGTTTGCCCACAATATCATGAATTCATTAGGAGATGTGAAGATTTAGACAAGCTGACTGTCAGTGATGTGTTTGCGATCCAATTAATGCAGGTTTGCTTTGTGCTAGAAGCAAGTTTATCATATAGTGAAATTCTGATATATTAGTACACATCATAGTGGACAGCTTTGATATATACTGAAGCTCTTATATAGTCAAATGTCTGCTAAGTACGCAGCTTCTTTCTGTGAATGTACAATAAGCAGATTGACATGACCATAGATAAGCGTTTGAAGTCTAAAGTTAACTTTCAGTGATACGAGCACATTTTCATGTTTATAGACAGTTAGTAGTTCCAATTAAGTTTAATGCAGCTTGACACGACTTTGAAATACTTTGTTGAAGTTGCTTGTCCCAGCTCTTCTTATTCTTGATCCTTATTTAAAACTTTTCCCTTCTTGTTGTTCACTTTTGTCTTTTTGGTTTAGTCTCGTTTTGAGGGTTTCCATCTTCTTCTTCTAACTATCTTATTTCAGATATTAGACAGTACATTCATCATACTTGTCAGATGTATCTTGTAATTCATGGCACAGAACCTGATTAAGATACTAGCCCAGATAAAAAAGCTTTATATAGTTGTTGCAGGCTTAGGCACCTTGTGGACTTCTTTTTTTTAGCTACTTATTATGTTCACTTTTTCGTCAATGTAGGTTCCACAAGTAACTGAGGAGGTTGCTATTGCTGTTCTAGAGATGTACCCAACTTTGCGATCTCTTTCTCAGGCATACTCTGTGCTAGTAAGTTTTTCTATTATTCTACAAAATTTGTGTTGAAATAAATTAGGGCACAAGTACACTGCAGTCGCCAATCAAATATGTATAAGATTCATCTTATATATTTGTCAATTCCAAAGAACTGGGGGTTTTTGCCTCTTAATTGTTGATCTGTTTAATGATTACTGCCCTGTTACTGGTTTACCAGGCTAGTTGTTCTAGGGGATTCAAAGGCCAGGGAGAATACCTTTTCCTGTTGAATTAAAAAAAAAAAGGAATCCAAGGCCAAAAACTGAATGCCCATTAAACTAGAAAAGAGAAAAGATCATAGGCTATGCCAAAATCACAGGCGGGGGATGGAATGCCATGTCAAAGAAAAACTGAGGCTTATTTTAATTTGAAGAACATTTTGAAAATTGGGGACTTGCCAAGGCCAAAAATCACTGTAGTGTATATTATTCAGCATAATGTGATGGCCTTATTATGAACTAATCTTTAGGATAAACATTAGTGTCTTTCTTTATCCTGACGTGGTTCAGTATTAAATTTAGAACTGAAATCTTGGTGGATTTTTTTTTTCCTTTTTTTTTTTTTTTTTTTGGGAAAAGGATGGGGGGGGGGGGGAGGGGTGGTTTTACCCGAGGCATTTAATATGAATTGCATGTGAACGAATCATCCGGACTTACTACCTCCAGTAAAGCGCTCTCATGAACTGCCTGAAAAGTTTCTCATGTCGTGTGTTTTGAGCCAGTCTTCTTATGCAGGGAAAATTATCTTAATGGCCAGATAATTGCTTTTGAGTCAACTTACAGTTCCCGATATTTGGTTGATATCTTTTGACCTCTAATTTGAGTCTTGTGTCTGATTTTGAGAAGGATGGTGACATTTGTGCTCAAGAGGATATGCTCAAGAAGCAGAGTAACAATTTGATTAGCAGTGCTGCTAGCAGAAACATCTTCCAACTGATTTGGGGCGGTTGACTTTGCATTGAAGTTTTTTCAAATGCTTGTTAGAGTTGATAGAAAGCAAGGATGTGATATAGTTCTTAACTGCAATTTTTGCAGTCTGAGGATTGCACGTAAATATAGGATGTTGATGGACTTTCATTTCATATTCCAGTTTCCATTCACCTGCCCCTCTGGGTATGTGTTATTTTGGACATTCTCATTCACTTTTAGTCTCTCTTCCCTGTATTTAGTGTGTTTTCCCTATTTTCTGGTCCAATGGCCATCCAGCATTGAGTAGCTGCAATTTCAATTTTCAATTAGTTATTATGCCTAAAAAGTATTTTATATTTTCGCCGGACAGTGACAAGTTAATAAATGATTAATTATTTTAAATTTTCTGGTACGGCCCATTGTTTTTTTTTTTTTTTTGTTTGGTGTTTGGCGCGTCAAAATGGATTTTAATCCAATTCTGATTTAATTTACTTTCTTGTTCATGTACTTATTGGATGAAGCATAATGCTCCTACAAGTTAATGCAATTAGAGGTTTATGAAGGGTTTTTTTTTAATTATTTAATAATGCTCACGTGATTCAGTCTTTATCATTATTTACAGTATAACATCTAAATATGGGGAAAATGTTATGCTTTATTGCCTTGAGTGATAGAAAATAGTAATTGGCTATATTATCATTCCCTTCGCTCTATTTTATAAACTACAATTACCACTCTGCACTCTCAGCTTCCCGGATTCGACCTTGAACTTGTAGTGGGCTGACCATTAGGCCTACTCCAATGGTTAAATACAAGTTAATTTTGCAGCTCAAGTTTAATACTTTTTCCTATTTAAAAAGACATGCTTGAGTGCATAAAAAATATGTACCTTGATTAAGATTTTTGATAGGATTTTTCACCTATACTTCCTAAGAAGAGCATTTTCATCATTGAAATTAGTAAATTTTTTTTTTTTGTTTGTGGTGAAGCTTGCGTATGTTGTTCAATTGTTAGTGAAATTTCTAAAGCAATGAAAAGCATTTTGAGCTGTAGATGCCAATTGTGTGATCGTATTTATGTGAATGAGGAGAGGATTTTTATATTAAAAAAAATTTAAGAAGTATTAAATGCTTATTTCTCATTCAGTATGTAGATTTTTCTCGTGATTTTTTTGTAAATATTTTCTCTTGCGACATTGAAGTTAAGGCCTAGAATCAAATCTTCTAATGCTCTCTAACCATCTAACCATTTTTGAGGGATGAGAAGTTAGCATTCAAATATAGTAGTTTCTAAGACTGGAGTAAAGCTGTAAGGGCTTTGACAAAGAAACTAAAGATTTAAAAACGTCTGTGATATTTTCGTTTAACAAAAAAAAAAACCTCCTTTTTCCAAGATTTTGTAGTAGAAAAAGTATAGGCAAAATCCAATCTTTTTGAAATAGTTCCTATGTCTCAGTACAAGAATAAGCATGTCAAAGGTATTCACTTCCAGAACTAATTCATTGCATTAGCAATTTAATTACATCCCTTTTCACGTGTTTACATGTCAGAGATACGTAATCGTAAGGCCAAAGATGCAAGCATGAAGAGGTTTTTTTTTTTTTTTTTTAAACAATTAGGATTTGCAACCACCGCCTTATAATTTCTCTAAAATTTTGAGTTTTTTTTTTTTTTTGGCTCTTGCTAATTTCCCAACTCCTACTCGTATTTGGAAACGGTAAGCAGTATTTTCTTGGAAGCAATTAGGGTTTGCAACGGCCAATACTTTCCTAAAGATTTTTTCATATTCCTTTTTGGTTCATTATTCCTAGTTCATGCTCCGGATCCTATTCCTTTTCGGACCAGGCTTCCTATTTATGCTTATAACTGGACAACCCAATGTCGCTCTATTTATAACCAGCAATCGAATCCCCAGTCTTTAAATTGGACTAGATTTGTTCAACAAAGCTCTGTTTAAGTTCTCTCGCTTTCTCCATAAAATTCTTGTTCTCTCTTTCTTGTTTTCTTGAACAATTCAATGGAGAGTTCAACTTCTGCAATGTCCCAGACAAGGTGCAGGAGCGTCAATAACATGACCAACAAGGAAAACCCAACCAACGTCGATGAAGATATTGCTACTATTTGTTTTGGCAGTTTGTGTTTAAGCCGCAACAGCAATGCCTCGACTGATGCTGCTTCTTCTCCATCTCCTCCTGTTCCCGATTCTTCAGGAAAACTGCAAGGAACTCAAGCTGTCAACGAGGCAAGAAAAGGGTTGTCTTCAAATTTTGATAATTTGCGGGCTATTCAGGAATTCTTCCCTGGTGGAACAGAATGGCCATTATCAGGTTCGGTTCCTCGGAAAAATATCTGGGCATGTCATAGTTTGTACAATAGAGAACAGAATCCAGCGAAAAATAGGATCAATGGCCAAGGAAATTCAGTGACTTCTCTGAGTTATGCGCATGTGAATTATGTACAAGATAATTCTTATGGAAGCCTAGGAGATCAAACAAGATTCAATCTTTTCCATGAGAATTCGCCATTGTATCGTTCACCAAATCAGTTTGGTGGCTCATGCAATATGGGAGATAATGGGTTGAATGGTACAGGGAATTTCAGGCCAGTGACGGAGAATCAGTTTTCAGGAAATATAGGTAGTGGGTACAACAATAGGATGGGTGGTTATAAGGCAATTTCCCCTTACTTTCAAGATCAGAGTATCTGGGTCATGGTAGCCTGGTTGAAAGTTCATTGCCGGGATTCGACTTTTTTGCAATGGCTATGAACAGGGCGGGTTCGGAGCAATTGAAAAGGATTCTTCGACAGGGAAACTCTTGGTATACACAAGAAACATTCAAAGCTGTTTTTCCCACATTTTTCAACTGATGAACGACTCCAACGGACATGTTATCTTTGACACCCTGGTTGACAAATGTGAAAGTTGTCAGCTATGTGCAATCGTGATGAAGTTTCAGTGGGAAACTGACTTGTTTCTGGATTCAACGTTCAATGATATTGCGTCAAGGTCAATTCAGAGGCTAATCAAGAAGCTCAAAAAGACAGGATTGGAATCCATCATTACAGCAATGCTATCCAGAAGATGCTTGGAACTCATGACTCACAAGACAGCCTCTCATGTCATCCAACATTCTTTCACGTACTTGGGAGATGAAGCTAATGTGGTGTTGTATGACCACATATTATCCTATTTCCTGCTATTAGCCACGGATCGTGTCGGGTGCATAACAGTTAATGTTTGCATCGATAGCATTACTGGTCCGAGAAGAGCAGCTCTTCTCAAGCTGGTGGCAGACAATGCAAGTTGCCTGTCAAATGATCCTTCAGGAAACTATGTTCTGCAGCGTGTTCTCGGACTAAAAGTTGATCCTCTAACACAGCAAATTTGCTATAGTCTTAGAGGCCAATATGTGGAGCTGGCTCAGAGGAAAAGTGGTAGTCGTGTAGTCGAAAAATGCTTGGAATCATCCGAACTTGGGCTCTCTCTTGTGATTAAAGAAATTTTCAACAATGACAAAACACTTTCACTGCTGGCTCGAGATCAATTTGGGAACTATGTGATCCAGACAGCTTTAAGAATTGCAAAGCTTCACGCTAGACATCTGTATGAATCCATGGTTGAAGCCCTGAAGCCACACTATGCCAACCTGATGAATAAACCAGGGGGAAGATATGTAAGCAACTTGATCAAAGCTGACCTTGAAGGGCAGCAGAGTGCAAAATCTGACCAGTGAAGACCAATGTTGAGCTTATAGGTTGTTACTTTTTGTGAATTTTTCTTATGAATCTCACTTGTTTGTGAGGAGATATTTCTCCATTTGTTCTAGAAGTAGCGAAACTATGTATTAATACTTTTTTTGTAGTTGTCGATTAATTGATATGCGGAGACTTTTTCTATACCTATGTGATATGTGAAAGTGCTTTGTTAAGAGTTTGGCTCTTTTTTCCTTTTCTCCAGTAATATAAGGTTGTTTTTATACATTTTCAAGTCCATTGGGTATTAGGCACTAGTATTCCTCATTTTCTACTTTAGATTTGGAGATAGGACAATATGCAACTAAACAGATCAAGTCGTTGCATGCTTGTGCAGTTGTAAGGATATGTCCTTGACTAAAATCAGAATGTAGTAGACTTGGATTAATTCTTATTTTCGTTTAGATAGTTGAAGCAAAGCAAATATCACTCGACTAATTATTCACCTGTGCAAATGCATCGGCTTCTTCTAATGTTAAAAAATTTTTTTTTTTGAACAATTGTTGATACAAAGTAACTAAAATCACTGTCTTGTCTTTATAAAGAGTAGTGATATACACTCTGAATGTTCAATCCAGCAAGTTCTAACTAATTCGTGGTTATTGAAAATCAGGGGGTGGATATATGTTTAAATTATCAGATGTGTTTGAAATCTATGCTGCTACTATTTTTTTGGATTTATATTTACGTTGCTCTGAAATTAGATTTCGGAATTAGCTGTTTTTTGGGGTGTTTTGAAAATTTTACTGTAGCAGAGTTTTTATGGTATATTTTAGAAAATATTTTGGGATATTTAAGAGTAGAAGAGTTTTTAGAATATATTTTGAGATATTTTTTATACATTATAAAAATTTAGACTACTTTTTAGAGTACCTTTTAAAATACTTTTTAAAAATTTTAGTTTTTGAAAAACTCAGCGATCCAAACAGAGCCGATCATTTATTTTCCTTTCAATTTAAGATACCAAATATAGGAGAAAACATTGACAATAAATAGAATAAAGAATAGTTAACTTATGAACAAATTAACGACTATACCCGTTGAATTTTATCCCGTGATTCCGTGTAAATTTTATCTTATCGTACATATAATGTTTACATCTAAATGCACATAATAAATTGATGTGTCCACATAAACATACAATATGGATGTATCCTTATACTATATAAGAACGAGTTTAGCACTAGATTTCAACCGCAGAGGTGAGGCTATTTTGGGAATGTGAGAGTGTTTGAAGAGTAATTGGAACACTGAGTACAAGTCATTATAGCTTTAATTTCACTATAATTACTTATATAACCTTTCAGACATTTAAGGTTAGGGGCAGGTTTGGTATGTTACAATGTTTGATGCCAAGTTGAGTATCAAGTACAACTGAATAAAGCTTGTATTTTGATAGAATTACATAAAAGTCCTTTTAATCATTTATTATACTAACATCCAAGCCTTCCAATTTCCTGAAACCTTTCTCATCGGTTAAGGAATTAATTGGATGTTTACATAATTGGATTTTAATTACAATTAATTAACTTAATTATTATCTGAACAATCATTATCATATTTATGTTCCCATGTTTAGCCGATACCCTTTCTTCTTTTTCGGTTTCACCTCTTTGATTTTATTATGGCTATTAAATATTTGGTGGAATGCATAGCTTTTCCTTTTAATTGAGGCAAGTTCTTTGAGTTGTCTTCTTTGATTGTAGTTTTTTTTTCTGATGATTAGTTTATTCAAAAACTTCATATAGTTTGCCTTTTGATACTTCTAATTCCAAAAACTGACTAATTGTATTGTTTTTCTTAGTAGATCCTAGAGATTCTATCTCTGGTTAAAGTACAATTTGAGATAACATTGTCACTTTCTAAAATAATCAGAAAAGTAATTTTATCATCTTCTCCTCCTCAGTCAAGGTATTATCTTTTTATTTAAGTCAAATAACCTTATTTCTCATGAACTTTCTCCTATTATTCTTGACTCCAGGGATCTGTTGACTACATTCCAGCAGTTATGGTTCAAGTAGTTAGTTTTTCATGTAATATGATTTGGAATTCAGCTTGTGTTTATTTTAATTAGAAATTTTATGATTGTAAAATTTATTAACTTATAATTTTGTACTTCATTGAAACTAAAAAAGAAAATTAATCATGCTACATAGTACTAAGATGTCATTTGCACTCTATTTGCTTTCCATGTGATCTCGTTCTTGTATTATACTATTTATATAGTTTCAAATACAAAAAAAATTACTTTTTTATGCTATCTAAAAGAATTTGTAGTGAAACTTGATGAATTTAAATGTTTTAGCTACAACACCATTTTGATTGCATTGTATTAATTCATTTACTCATAATTGTATATTGTACAATGATAAATAATGTTCTTGATTTGATTGAAACAACTATTATCCATAGTTCAAACGAGTCAATTAAGTAGAGATGTTATATTGGATACTTATACAAGTAAATATTATAAAATATCATTAAGCAGTTTCTACCTATAGTTTGCAATTCGAATTCATATGAGGAATTTCTTCTGATTTTAGTTACCATTTCCTACAATTTCAAATTTAGAAAATATTATTTGCACCAATTTTTTATAATCAAGATGGTTTCAATTCAAATCTTTAACAATTATGCAGATTTGAACTTATTTATGAGATTACAAAGAAATGTCCCTAGCAAAAAACACCAAATCTGAATAATTTCTACAAAACTTTGAAAAGACCACTTAAATTTCTTATCTATCTATCATTTTTTGGCATTATTATCTCTGTAAGAAACATGTGATTAAGTCATATTATACCCACCAAATTATATAAATAGTTAGTCAAAAATAAAATTATTTTAGATTAGATTGGACGCAAAGTGATTGATGGATAAACTTGACTTGATAATTCGGGTTGAGCTTAAGTCGAGGATAAATCAGAAAGCATTGCTTGAGGGATCTTTCACGAACATATATAGATTCGAGAGATGAAGGGTCCAATTGATACTTTAAAATGTTTTATCATCTTGAATAAGTTTTAGAAGAGACATTTGGAAACTTTTCAATTGCACTTCAAACATTCTTACATTTTCAAATTACGCCTTATCTTTACAGTTAAAATTCAAACATAACCTTTGATCACAACGGATTCTTATATAGTATAACGATAAGGATATTTCATTGCACATTATTTTTATTGACTCACTATGTAACTTATGATTTTTCTATTAAAATCACATGATAAAATCATCATACTTCAGTTCCTATACTATAAAATATTAAACAATAATTATTAATTATCTTGAATCACAAGCACCAAATTCCCGTGCGCGCGCGGCGCTGTTCCTTCCTAGTTTGTACATATATACATGTGTAGATAGATCTGGTCAACAAAATGTAAACTTTGGTGAAGATGCGTACACAGATGGTGCACATTTCAATTTATGTATGTGCATATTGTTCACTCTAATTGTAATGGATCTTCTGTCCCATTCCCTGTACCTCTCCGTGTCCCACTTTTTATAACATTATTATTTCTCTTTCATAAATATCATGTTTTATTTCTTTTTGATTTACTTAAAATCTAATAACTATTAACTGAATAAAAAATAAATATAACAGCTTAAAAAAAGTAATATATAATAGAAAATTTAAAAATACAGCTGAAAATTCATTAAAAAATCTCATTTTTTATACAACTCAGTTAATAGTTATTAAATTTTAAAAAAATAAAAAAAAATAAAACATGATGTTTATGAAGGAAAAATAGTAATGTTATAAAATGTGGAACACAGAGTGACACAGAAAATAGGACTAAAGATTTGTCGTGCTAATTGCAATGGATTTTCTGTCCCATTTCCTGTACCTCTCTGTATCCCACTTTTTATAACATTACTATTTCTCCTTCATAAACATCATGTTTATTTCTTTTTGGTTTATTTAAAATCTAATAAATATTAACTGAATAAAAAATGAAAATGGTATAACAGCATAAAAAAAGCAATATACAATAGAAAATTTAAAAATACAGTAGAAAATTCATAAAAAAATCTCATTTTTTATACAACTCAGTTAATAGTTATTAGATTTTAAAAAAATAAAACATGATATTTATGAAGGAAAAATGTAATGTTATAAAATGTGGGGCACAGAGTGGCACAGAAAATAGGACTAAAGATTCGTTGTGCTAATTGCAATGGATCTTCTGTCCCATTCCCTGTACTTCTCTGTGTCTTACTTTTTGTAACATTACTATTTCTTCTTCATAAACATCATGTCTTATTTTTTTGGTTTATTTAAAATCTAATAACTATTAACTGAATAAAAAATGAATATAATAGCCTAAAAAAAGCAATATATAATAGAAATTTAAAAATACACTAGAAAATTCATTAAAAAATCTCATTTTTTATACAACTCAGTTAATAGTTATTAGATTTTTAAAAAAAAATAAAAAAGAAATAAACATGATGTTCATGAAGTTAAATAGTAATGTTATAAAATGAGAGACACAGAATGTCACAAAAAATAGGATAGAAGATTCGCTGTGTATTCTAATGATGAGGATATGTTCATATAAACATAAATTTATGATTTTCAGCATCGTTCATTTTATTTACTGCACACACCACTTACGAATCTCAAAAAAATTTACGCCCATTCTAATAAAGTAAACCTTATATGGGCTGAGAGCCTGAGACCAGCTCCGAGATTGAATTGGAAAAAGATAAGCCGACCTTGAATGTGGGACAATCCTTATCCTATTTGGGTTCTGTCCTTGGGAACTATTTAAAACCATATTATAAAGTTTAAGGACCTAATAGATATTTTAAAACTCGAACCAAATAGAAGAATAGGTAAAAGTTCAGGGATTACTTGAGCTAGTTACCAAAAAAAAAAATTCCCTTGGTGGTTGACGATATGATGATTTTCTCCCTTCAAGATTGGATTGAATTATATGACTTAGATCCTGTTTGATAATCCAATTCAACATTT